GATATTTTGTGGTGTATTCCAATTTTCAACACTTAGTTGAGCTCCAGATACGCCACTGGTACTATATACACCACTAGGTTGACATACTTTTAAAACAAATTAAGTTCACAGGGTATTTTGAAAGTCATCTAAAAAAAAAATCTTTAATTAATCGAGAAGGTTAAAGTCAAATTCTAGACATAAAATATTGTAAACAATAATTAATAATAAATAAAAATTACATTTTTTTTATTTCCACATTTACAAACTGGGAATTATATTAGCACATTAATTGAAAAACACATAACTACAGAAAACATATGTACATAGGTTTCCTAAATTTTTCCAAACTTTATATGTTAGATAAGTTGTCCGTTTTAACATGAAAAACAGAAATCAAACTAATTATAAGCACTTAGTAATTCTGCATTTGTGTAATACTACAAGAACAACTTACAGTAAAACTTTTGCCAATTTTTAATAATTTTTGAATAATAGAAAAAATGTTATCTACATAAAACCTTATAAAAACTAAAAAAAATCAAATGTATAAAATACCAAAAGCATATAAATAGATCAAGTATTTCCAAAATGTTTAAATAATAATACTACGTCTAGAAAAGGAAAATAACAAAATGTCAAATTTCTACGAATATTTTTAAATGAATTACAACAAAAAAACAAAATTTAAAATAATGAAACCTGCATTATTTTCGTTAGCTTTCCCATTCTTTCTATGTTTTAGATTCTGAACGGAGCTAAAAAAGTATTTGTTTTACAATGATTATTTTTTCTATTTTTTTCTATGGACAACTTTTCTACCAGCAATTTTGCTCCGATTTTCAAATAATATAAACTCTGAAAGGAAATCTGGGAAAAACGGGAAAATAAGTACAATATTAAACAAAAATTATTTTATATAGAACATGTAATGTCCATGTAATTATTTTACTAAAATATGACATGTATATTGTTAACAAAGCAACACTATCAACCAAACTCTTATCAGAATCGTTTTACATTAGCAATGGTTAATCGTTGATTACAAATATACATTCAATTACCTATTACAGTGACTGCACCCATTCCTATTATTCCAAGACAAAATTTTCATTGTTATAATTGTTTTACTATTTACTTATTGCTTTTTTTTTTCGGTTTTTCTCAATTATTAAAAAAAAAAATCAAGAAACGACTTACATCTTCAGGGCTTAGATTCAAAATACAACAAAACTGGTCTCTTTGTATTATTGATCGAAACAATATTTCTGGTATAAAACATAGTGCGTAAAAATTAAAAACAATTATAATCGGTAATGCTGCGGTGTGCTGTAAATATTTGCCTTTTTTCCACTAATTGTTTTTCCGGTTTTCTCAATTATTAAGAAAATCAAAAAAAATTTTCACAAAGCACAAACTAGATAAAATTGTGTTATAGAATACGTGCTCCCCTTGATAAATCTGCAAGTTTTCTATTCAAAAAGTTGCTCACGGACACAAATAATACGTATACCTTTATATAGATAAAAACACGCACACACACACAAATGATGGTAAAACCAATAGCTCCGAATATAAAATGATAAAAATCACATATCAAAATAAAAACCAATCAAACCGCATCCAAAAAATATACAGTGATATACAGTTATACATTAAATACAAATTATTATGAAAACGGCCAAGACAAAATATAAAATACGAAATGTGAATATATAATTTCGAGAACCGAAATCGCGGTGACGGGATTGTTAAAATATAATTTCGGCTATGACCACCTCTTATTTCGGGTTTAGTTTTTGGCGCGCGCATTCCGGTCGGTGTTCGACGTGAGTGAGGGGTGCTGGTGGGGAAACATATTATTACCGCACAGGAGGAGGGGGGAGTGGACATGGCGCCAACACCCACCCTATACCGACCACACACACCCGCAATTTAACGCATATTATTGTTGTTGTTATTTTCCCATCCCCAGGCCGCCGATGTCATCGTTATTATTACTATTGTCTGCCGAGGAGTTTTGAACGCCGTAGTGTCGTTAATGGTCTTAACGATTTGGATGCAAATGAGTGGCGCGGAGATAACGCCGCCCCGCGGAGAGAAGAGGCTTCGGGTACTAAACACAGTGATAGTAGCAGTATATTAAATGGTCGCCGTAGACAAGTTCATAGTTAAGTATAGATAATAAGTACAGTACAGTTATACGTAGAAGTCTGTGTACATATATATTTATAATATATATATAGTATAATAATATTATAATAATATAGTAACGGTGATGATAATAATAATAATATTATTGTTGTAGACCCGGCGGTGGTGCCAGTGGTAGCACGATTGTTTGCGACGAGACGACACACCTTTTTTGACCCACCCACCGATTCGTTAAAAACAGACGATCCTGTCAACGTTCTACCCCGTTGTTCCGTCCTACCCCGCTCAAACACCCACTCACCACTTCCCTTTACGCCAAAAAGTTATTTGATAATTTCACGGTGCCTACCTAATTAATTACGCGCGAGTCAAAAAAAAGCAAACGAAAATTACATTCTATTTACAGTTAAGAATTGTACTTACTCACGATCGAAACAATAGAAATCAATGATAACGAAATACAATTATGAACCAAGTTCCGTTGTACATGCTTTAAATGCCATGATTTTTATGATGTTCGTTAATGATTGATATAAAAGATGCTTATAAAATAAAAAACTACTACATTGCTCTTATAGATATTTTTTAATTATTATTTTAAAATAATAGCACTTTTCTTGAAAGAAAATTTGACTGGGATGGTACTTTAAGGAGATCATTCTTCGATTTTCCTATGAGTTTTCCTATCAAATGTGAAAAACCGAAAAAACTTGTGAAAATCAGGAAAAACGGGAAATTCGGTACAATATTAAACAAATATTATTAAGGAAAATATGTAATACGTATGTAATTTTTTTACAATTATATTGTTGACAAAGCATCATTATCGACTGAATTGCGCTCAGAATTATTTTTTCTTTAGCAATAGTTTATCGTTGCTTTCAGATATCCATTAAATTACCTATAACAGTGGCTGCACCCGTACTCCATTATCCTAGAAAGTCTTTTTTTATTTTTATTTTGTTTTTGCTAAGCTATGTATACCACGTTATTCTTATAAAAAGGTGTCCTACTGAATTTAAAAAAATTAATGATAAGACCACTTTATTTTTATAAACTCAGCACAGGTTATTATTATGTTATTACACTGCCCTCTTAATCGCAAATGCAGTAACTACCAAAATGTCAATAATACTATATAAACAAAGATTATAATGCAGTATCTATTGTTATTTTTCATATTTTGCGTCTAGTATTCCTAAGGGAAAAAAGCTATCCTAGGATACTAAGAACACAGCCACTATTGTAAATTGGAAGTTGAGAAGGTAACATATAGACAGAAATTTAATTTATATCTGTATGCAAAGATAACCATTGCTAACTAAAAACAATTCTAAGCAGCGTTTGATTAATAGTGTTGCTTTGTCAACAATATTTGTGTGATATTATAGTAAAATAATTATATATGCATTAAAAATTTTTTTTTATATAATATTTGATTAATATTGTAACTATTTTCCTACGTTTTTTCCTGGTTTCCCGGTATTTTTTTCCCATTAATTAGAGACACTCCCTGGAAAATCAAAAAATAAACTTCTAAAGAACCTCCCCAGTCAGATTTTCTTTTATAAAATGTATTATTGTTGTAAATTGGAGCTGGTAGAAAAGTTGTTCACCGTTAAAAAATAAATAAATAAACATCATTGTAAAACTAATACAACCCTCACTATACTCAGAATCTAAAAAATTAACTTATCATTTATTATCTAAAAGCCGATTTTGAAATGTCAAAATTACACAGTTTTTTTGTTTACTGTTTTTAAGTATTCAAACATTACTAGAACAAATTACAATCACTAACAACAAAACGTAGTAAGCTGATACTATTTACTACGTTTAAAATGGATTTTATGCTAGATAAAATATATCTAGTAAATCAGAATTAAATGCATTTTGTTCCTGTACATTAACTCGCATTTTCCATAAAAAATTCAGTAAAATATTTTCCGCGGAGAATTTTGTCATTTTTTTTTTAGAAAATTAAATGTTATTTTTAGGGTGGTTCTAATCGTATACATGATGACTTAATTTTTTTAAATGTTGTTTGAGCTACCTCAGAATTTGTTTATAACTGTAAACATTTGTCAACCTAGGATATGGATCAAAACGCTGTTTTTAAATGTGTTATGGCCACACAACGCAATATGAGTCGATTTTATCAGACATATCGAAAAAGATAATATGTCAATTTCTCGAAATTTCACTTTTTGCAGCCACTGCAGCGAAGGCAGTATAATGCTTATGTATATGCTTTAACTATATTTTTGCGCGCAGACTTCCATTGCCTAATATTTGTCACGGATCTGTCGTGTGTGACCAATATAGGTTCGAAAATGTAGCTTTATAATAATAATAATAATACAACCCTTGTAGACCGCGATGCCGGAAAGCCGGTCGACCGTCCACCCGAGGCCGCGTATTTCGTATATCACTATTATTATATTGTTCGGGCATTTCTGACGGGGGGGGGAACGAGGTCGGCAGGGAAACGACCATATAACCGGCGTGTTAATCGAATTATTATAGCGCGGTGTGTATATATTATTATTATTATTAGTATTATATTTTACAGCGCTTCTACTCGTACACAACGGACCTCGAGAAGCTATGGCTGATGAATTTATGGTAACCGAATTATTATTATCCGCGGGAAAATACGAGTTTCGTTCGAGTCGCAGACCGCGTGTGTATTGCTACACGTTAGAACTTTTGGCGATCCCACCACCGCCGTCACGGTAAGCACAACTTTTGCGCGCGCTTTTATCGCCACGATGAGGCCGGACAGAAACACTTCGCCGCCGTCCGAGTAAACGCCCAGAGACTACGATTTTGAACAGCGGTGTCACAAGATAATAATATTATTATATTGTCGTTGTTATTATTATTATTATATTTAGATATCTGTATAAGTATACAAAGCCGATGCCGTTTATTTATTGCACACGATGATATCCCGTCGTCAGATCGATGTTCCGCGTAAAAGACGCAGGCGTTTACAGACTTTACGTCTCATGGGTCCTGCTGCATCCGACAGATAAAATTCCGTCGGGGTTATCGAAGATTTTTCTTTTGTTTGTTTATTATTTATTTATTTTTTTTTTTTTTTTAAATCCCGTCGTTTAATTCCGGTTTTCATCGATTTCGCGTGCCGATCGTTCTATTAATGTATAAACTATACAAATATATAAACAGTGATTTGTTCTCGTTCGTTTTATTATTTTATTTTTTTTTTTTTTGACTCTGTAGGGCAAAACGAAGAATATACCTACTAACCTATTAGTTTCACTATGATCTATACTATCTTCTGAGCGAAGCGAGGAATTGATGAGTTTACAATGATGTTTATTTTTATTTTTATCTTTGAACAATATTTCTACCAGCAATTTTGCTCCGATTTTCAAGTGTAGCACATTTTTGTTAGGAAATTGGACTGAGGAAGTTCTTTAAAAAGGTTATTTTTTGATTTTCCCAAAGGTTTTTATAATAAATGGGAATAAATATAGGAAAAACCAGAAAATTTACAAAATATATTATTTTCGAATCGTATGCATTACGGCCTTTCAAAACTTGCACGACTGAACTCCACTCAGAATTATTTTTTTTAGCAATAGTTCATTGAATAACATTAAATTTCTCCTTTACTTTCTTAACTTGTAACCTACCAAGGTAGCCTAAAACAGCAGTCCATCGTGCGAAGTATTTTTAAAAATATTTTTGTGTCTTTGTAAACAACTTGAAATCTTACTCTGATCAAAAATTGTATAAGAACTTTTTGTATCATTTTTAAATTAGTTGTTATATTGATGGGTCTTTTTTTTTATTTTCCTAGTATTTTTCATTAATTAATGGGAAAAATGGTAATATGTTATATAATGTTTGTAAACTTCTGGGTTACTTTTGCCACAAGAGAAAATAATACGACTTATATACTCTGCTTAGAATTGTTCTTCATTAGTCATAATTACTACAAATATTCTTGTATGCATATCTGTACTATAGCATTATCGTACTTTAAATACTCAGAAACTATCGGGAGAAACCGTACAAAAAAGGAAGACTACGACAAGGTTAGCAGGCTGAACAAGCACATTTGGAAAACAGTCAAAACCCTCGACTATAAGGGTAGTCCTGGAAGAGAACCGTTTAGGAAAATATATATGGTTGGGAAGACCGATAATGATATACAAACATCATGTGGTTAAACAGGATGTGAAACCTTTAGAAAGTGGCTGAACTATACGATTTTGTCGATGGATAGAAATAGTTGGAGAATTAGTTTCAAAGTCAAATAAACTCCGAAATAAGATTATACGTTATTTGCCCGAAAAACATTTTTCTTAAACGTTGGCGAAATTTCAATAACAAATAATTAATAAAAATATTTCTATAATTACGAACGCCATTGATTGAAGAAAAAACGCTAGGTGTCAAGATAAAAACGAACATTCTATATTGAAATGTTGCATACACAACGACGACAGCGACGTTTCGCGATAAGTCTATCCGTTGAATTAGTGTTTTAAACCTAAACCTTCATACCAGTAATACTTTTATACGCACAGTTTGGTAAGTATTTGTTTACGAATGCACGTATATTTTAATATTATACACGATAAACTTACTGTCGCGTCGTCGTCGAGATTTAACGGGTTTTTATATTTATTTTTATTTTGTTTTCGTGTGCAACGGACATATAATTTAAACAAAAATCCACGTTTCTATCATATAATGGCCACCACCGTCTTAAAGTCGTTTGTTCGAATGCATATTTATATTCAAATTGAAAAGTATTAAATTAAAACAGATATGCAACCACAGTATATATATTATATGACTCTATACCAAAGCGTTTCATCTCAAAAATATACGCATACGAGTATAATTTTCTATTCATATTGTCATCGTAATCTCTTCTCTTTCAGTATGTATTGTATACTTTTCCGGTCATTACAGGGACCGTTTAGATATCCACTCATTTTCTCCGAGAGCCCCATTTTTTCTCTTCATTTTTCGTTAGTATTTACCAATTGCATGAAAGTCGCGAGTTCACTATACAGAATTTGAATCAAACTGTAGTTTTTCTATAACAATAATATTATATTCTTATTTTATGATAGTATTTTACATGATGTTATTTAAAAAATATTACTATAATATAGTGAACAATGGTGTAATTTTAATTATAGCATGTTCAATTTTGTATAGGTAAATAATATTGTGGTTATAGTATAGGCGTATTTTTAAATTAGGTTAGATTTTATAATATAACTAGCTACCCCGCTCGTTGCCCGACCCAAGTTTTTATTATTTGTTTTAACCATATTACTTTTGTTATTGACCGTTTCACCATTGAATGAAAACAAATAGGTGGAAAGTGGGTAGTCCAGTTTCGGCGGACTAAAAGTGTTCTATTGTGACATTTTTTTATGATTTTCATACCAAAAATATTTAAACACCGAATAGTATAATTCGGGGAAGGGGATTTCAAAAGAAATGAAGCCTAACCTAGCCTATCGGGGAATAGGAACGCTCCACAGTGGAAAAGCACGTGTACTATATTATAATCGTCACTGCAGATAGCACGGAGTTCCTTTTATGCCTTTATGTACGTATTTGCCGAAAATTTATATTTATACGAAATTAATAACTCGATTGTCATAATTAGAGACCAGATTTATATGTTCTTAAAATCCACAACAAAATACTTTAATACGTCCAAAAGACTTGAAAAAATCACTTAAAAATGTATAAAAACACAAACATAATAAAAGAGATTTAAAAGTCCCCCCTCTAACGGATTTAATTTATAAATACTATTTTCTATCACTACAAAAATGATTAATGAAAGGTAATTTTTTTTATAATAAGTACAATTTTATTTAAAAGAAATTATTTAGTATGAATCGATTTTGTAATGCTAGGAAATTTAATTTAATAAGTTAGAGCCATAAATTTGGGGGTACTTTTAAACTTCTCTATAATTTTTTTTAAAAATCAATATTAAATTAAAATTTTAATATAAGGCATAATTTAATTTCTTAAAAAATTCAAAACTGTATAAACGTTTATATATATAATTCGAATAGACTGTGTATTAAAAAATGAATAAATGAACTTTTTCGATAGATGCCAACCGATGATGCTATTAAACGACATTTATCATATTCACCATATATAAAGAGATGAAGAAATAACAATAAGGCACATATAGTTTCCCAAAATACATGATATCTCCATAAGTAAAAATTATAATATCCATAGTATCTCCACTTACAATAATTATCAATAAATAAACAAATTCGACATTGAAACAATGTTGTTTAATCAATATGAAAATATAATTTTTTAAATTATACGATCTTGCTGATATTATTTATGTACCTACCTAATTTTAAATAATTGTATTTTAACAGTTTTTAAATAGGTAAATACTCGTATTATGTTTGCACTTTATTTAAAATTTTATCATCGGAAATTATATGCACTATATCACATTATACATACATGGAATTATATTCTCGAGTTAGATAATTATATTGAAATATCCAAACATAATCATAAATATAATTTTTTTTTTTAAATTACAATAATATTTTATAACAATGTTTTAAACATTATAAAATAATAGACGAACACAAAAAATATTTATTTATTTTAAATTTATGTATTTTAGTACACTACACAAATTTGTTCAACATGTTTTAGATTCTGAGTGGAGCGAAGAATGTATTGGTTTTACAATGATATTTATTTTTTGTTTATGTGAACACATTTTTCTACCAAAAAGCGAACTTTAAAATATAAGATGCAGACCTTTTTCTGGAAGGAAATTTTCTTGGGGTGGTACTTAAAGCCGGTTATTTTTCGATTTTACCAGGAGTTTTCTCAACAAATGTGAAAAACTAAAAAAAATCGGAGGAAAACAGGAAAATGTACGAAAGTAAGTATTAGTTGGAAAATATTTCGGCCTTTTTTTCCTGTGAAACTTCTCTACTAGCAATTTTGCTCCGGTTTACCATGATACCTAGAACTTTATCTAAAAGGAGATCTGACTAGGAAGATACTTTGGAGAAGTAATTTTTCAACTTGCCCAAGAGTTTTCCCAACAAATGTGAAAAACCAGGAAAAACATTAGAAAACCAAGAGAACGTAGAAAAACGGAAAAAACGATACAATATTTAACAAATATTATTAAAAATTTCCCCTCTATAGTTTACCTCCCCAACTTCTCACCGACAGAGGCTGCACATATCCCTATTATCCTAGAAGAGATTTTTTTTATTTTTTTTTTTAATTTATCATGAAATATTATAACATTCTGAATTAATTTCGTACGCTTTTAACTATGAACATGCAATATTAACTATAGAAATTAAATTATTATTACCTATATATTATATTTTAATCACGATAACATTGAAATGTTCGAATACATTTTATGCAGAGTGTCACAATAGTATATCCTATACCATATCCTATACCATCAGTTGAAATACTGGGGTTTCGGAAAAAAAACCAAAAGCTCTTTAGATTACAAATTTTATCTAAAAAATATTTAAGTTATAAGTTAACGCAATAAAATATCGTTAAATTAAGTCTAATAGTTTTAAAAATTTGTCTAAGGTTTTTATCTGTCACAGCATTTTGTGTGAAAAAATATTGCCGAAACCTATAGGTAGGTACCTACTTTAATTATTTCGATGAAACATATTTAATGATACTTACTGTAATGAAATTGTGCTCATTTAAATTTTTGGCGCATTAATATGATTCAAAGACTATTCCTTTAGATTGAATAGACAAAATCGTGCATTTAAACACGGCATGTTTTATCATTAAAAAAGAATTTACATTTTTACTCAAAGTCACTTTTGTACAAGTGGTGTTCATTAATTAAAAATTCAATGGAAAGATAGTCTTTATTACTCACTTTTCTACTTCAATAGTTAAATAATATAGAGGATGTTGCATTAATGTGGTTAATCTACAGGAATATATATATATATATACATATATATACATATATATTTTATATATATATATAGCTTATGTAAAACTGAATTTAATCCTTATTATAAATATTAATTAAATTTTTTATGTAGGTCATAGTTAAAACTTATTTAATTTGTCTACACAAATAATAACTACTTTTTAAAGAAACATCGATTTTTCATAAAACCTAATGTTACTTTTTAACAACAGCAGATTGTTAAAATTTTTTTTTTGTATACGTAATTGAAAGAAAACCATATACGCATCATCATATCATATCATTTTACGTCAACTTTAATATTATATTTTCAAAAATATGTTAAAAAACTATAATGGAAAGTATTTTGATATTTTTATTTTTTTGCATGTTTTTATTGTTTGATAAAAAAAATATCAAGTTTATACAAAAAGGTGTATCATGACTTAATAAATAGATATACAGAGTGTTCGAATAGTTTTTTGTTAGCAATGGTTTATCGTTGGTAACAGGTATAAATTAAAAACCTTAATTTATCCCACTTTCCCAACTACCCCTCTACAACAGTGTCCGTACCCGTCTCAAGTATAAGCAATTTTTTTTCACTTTATTCAACTCACAGAGGTGTAAAGATTACAAATATCTATATTACAATTAATGGTTTTGTATTTAGGTACATTTTCAAAATATAATATGCTTTCACTTCATATTTTTGATAGATTATTGTTATTATGTATATAATTTCTAGCTTAGTAAATAATTAAATAGGTATCTTATCTATATTATAAAATCCAAGACATCGTTTCACACATCATTTTTAGGCACAATATAATAGACGGCAATGTTTTATTTAAATATTTACATTTCCCAATAATGCAACGTGAGTGATATGATAATATGAAACTTTTTCAACATTATAATAATAAAATGTTCTCATTTTAGTTTAAGTTCGTTTATTTCATAATTTCACTTTTATTTGGTAGAAAGAATTTTAAATTTCAATATAAATTAATATTAATTGATATATTATTAACACGTGTAATATAGGTAATAGAATAAATGGAGGAATAAATTGCATTTGATACAAATCATTCCCAACATTAGGCTTAAACAGTTATCCTAGCAATAATTATTTTAAAACTTAATTCTAACTATAATTTTATATGAAATATTTTTCGCTTAATTAAATATTTTAAACACACATAATGGTTCAGAATGAGCTGTGCTGAAAGTCGTAATAATAGCCCATATAAATAATACTTTATTCGTCGTTAATGTTAAAAATATCCTTCAATAAAACTAACGGAACATTCTTACACATAGTTTTGAGTAAAAAATTGACTCTCACGTGAAATATATGATGATAAGTATATGTGATTATCGATTATTTAAAATATGAAAATATAGCACAAATAGGCTACATGAAAAAAAAAAAACAGCTCCCAAAAATCATGCATATTCGAATTTTTGCCAAAGCTATATATATATATATATGGGCTATGTAATAGCAAATATATATGGAAGTACTTTTAAAACCAAATTTAAAAAAAATACCATCGTAAACCACGCATACGATTTTGTTATTAACTCTAATGGTGAAGACAATACAAGCCACAAGTTCTAAAAAACGAATTTTGCTAAATTAAGCAAAAACCAAAAAAACACACTTCGCTAAACAAAATGACATGTCGTTTAAAATTGTATTTTCGGTAGAATCCATTTGGACCTGATCACGTATTTTGCGTATGTACGTGGATACAGAATCACTATACGCTCTGATTGACTAGATCGTCAATTTCGTTAAGTATTGATGCAAACCAGATACCTTAGTGTAAATCTGAAATCTATTTCCTTGTCAATAAATGTCTAGGAAAGCCACCACGGATATAGATAAATCAGAGCTTTAACTGAATACGAAGAAATTTGTGAAATAAGTGTAAACCTCAAAACTAATCTATGAAAAACCACGACGAAAAAAATGGGTCTATAATCGATGAATTCGAATCAGAACTTATTGGACTTATATACGCCCCGTAGTCCATTGACATATTATTAGAACGTATATCGGCATGAATAATAAGGTAGTGATTCTGAATTTACGTATGTACTATGCAAAATACACAAATTGTTCGAGATGTACTCATATTTCAATTTTGTCAAATTATTGGTCTAAAGAATAATATGCTAAATTTGAAAAAAATTTAACAGTTACTGCTAATTGCACTGTTTTAAGTGAGAAATTAGAAAGGTATATATAAAGCAATCTGATTTAAATCTGCATGCAACATCATTATCGCTAACATAAAATTATTCTGAGTGATGTTTGAATAAATATTTTTTGAAATTCTCTATTTTTATTATTTTTTTTTATTTAAGCTTTGAACACTTATAGAAAAAAAAAAGTGCTGATACTAGGGACGGGAGCGGCCACTGTTGTATATGAGAAGTTGGGAAGGTAGGATACATAAGGTCATTTCATTTATTCGATGATAAACCATTGCTTGACGAAAGAAGATTCCGAGCGCAGTTTGGTAATACACAATTTGAAGTGTCGTAATTTTTTTGGCTGGTAAAAAAAGGTGCTACACTTATAAATCAAAGCAAGTTTTCTAGGATAAAAGTGGTCTATAGTATAAAAAAAGGATTACTACTGGAAACGGGTGCAGCCACTGTTGTGGGTAAAATACGAGGGTTGTCCCAAAAGTAATGCACAATTTGTTCTGAATAAATAAGTTTTTATTTTAAACTAAATACAATATTATAGACCTTCGATATAATCTCCCTGCTTGTCTATACACGATTGCCATCGTTTCGGGAGCGCTTAAATGCCGCATAGGAAGCCATCTTTGTTGAGTTCACGGATCCTTCGGCTCACTTCTTCATTTAGTATATCTAAGTTGGGAAAACGGAAAAACGGGAAAAAAGTGGTTCCTTCAGTTTTGGAAATAAATCAAAGTCCGGGGGACTTAAATCTGGCGAATACGGTGGGTGTTTGAGGCGTTCCCATCCATATTTCTCCAAAAGAGCGACGACTGGTGCTCCGATATGCGGCCGCGCATTATCGTGCAATATGGACACACCATTTTGTAACATTCCTGGTCGCTTTTTACGGATTTCTGGTCGCAATTTTTTAGCAAGGAATGTTTTGTANGTTCCGGTGACAGAAAATGAGGCACCCAACGTGCTGCAATCTTTCGTTTCTGTAGAATTTCCGTTAAAATGCGGTGAACACTTGATTTTGAAATACCTGTTTCATTCTCTATCTCTCTCACCGTTATTCGTCGGTCTTCATCGAGTAGAGTTGCGAGAATAGCCGCGTTAGTGTTGTCTTGAGTAACCGTAGAGGGTGGGCCAGAGCGAGGGTTGTTATCAATACTTATACGATCATCACGGAATCGCTGATGCCATCATTGCACCGTACTACGATCCACAGTATCCGTTCCACACACTTCATTTAGCGCGGCATGAATTTCAGGCACTGTTTTACCACGAATCGTTTCGATTTTAATGTATGCGCGTTGCTCAAAAACAGAAATGTGAGCCGACGAATTGTTNGAATTGTTCTCACTTCCGTTATCTCTCACATATCATCATACTTTACTAAAACAACTAAAACTGAAAACGCACGTGTTCGTTAGACTTCAAGCTACAAACTGATACTAAAATCAGCTGACAATATCACATTACAAGACAGCTAGAGCGCGCTGTGCATTACTTTTGGGACAACCCTAGTACATAAGGTTATATCTTTTATATCTGTATGTAGGGTGAAACGAGTATTATTATAATATAAAAATTGGAAATTTAGTTGTCATGTCGATCACTGGGTCAATAATACCGGTATCGTAAATATAGCAGGCTTCCAATGTTTGTCAAATTTATTTTAATCTATGTTTTTCCTAACTATTTATAAACTATGATTATGTCCGGGCTTGTTATTAGTTTTTTGTTCTAAATTATTTTGACAATAATATGATAAATTTCATGGTTTCAATTTCAGTTTTTATTTGAAATACCGATATTATAAATTATCAGTTTTAGTTATGATTAATTAAACCGGTATTAGTTTATTTTCGATTTTATACTACTATTAACCAGTTTTAAGCCCGGAATTTAAAAATCTTTCTTATCGTTTTTTTGATTGGAACAATATTTCTGATAGATAAGTTGTTTACAGAAATAAAAAAAAAAATCTTATCAGAATAAAACCAATACATTCCCCACTGTGTTCAAATTCTAAAATTTACTTAACATACATATATTTAATCGAATGCCGTTCGATTTATTCCTGTTTTATGTTTTTAATTTAAATTAAAAATTCCATTCAAACCAATATCAACCGACATACTATAATATTATAATAACACAGTGATGATTATATATTATAATATATTTTATAAGAGAATAAAATCCGTCGATATAATTCAAACAAAAATACATAGGTATAAATTAAGAAAAATATCGGCTCTTAACTTGTTTAACATTTATTTATTTTCTTTTTTTTTGTTTAAAAATATTACTACATGTATATGATTAACCTCAGAGTATATTATAAAACTAAAATTGTAGATGGCGTTATTTTGGCAAAGCAAACAAAGAAAAAAAAATTATTACAGTATAATATATACATTTTATTAAATAATACATACTGTAGGTACATATAGAACTTTTCATTTCGTAAGAAAAATATGAGATCATATATATTGTTGGCATGCTGCTATTACAAATTAATAAAGTATACTTTATAGTATATAGGTACCTATTTGACGTGTTCTAAGTGTGTACCCGTTTGAATTTTCGGGAGCGCATAAAAAAGCCAAAAATATGTCAGTCGAACCGTAATTTAGCTAACAAATATTTAATCCGAAACATTTTTTATCCAAATTGTGTTTCGGCCGAAAAATCCCCCTCCAATTAGACCACACAACCGGTGTGCGCGTTCATCACTAGGGCGCTCTGATATACCTCATTTGCAATCCACACGCGCAATTACCGACGATACCGGTTGTGTTTAAGCGTTGGTTGTAGTGGAGGGGGATTTTGTCGGCTGAAATACGATTCGGATTATTTATTTGTCGGATTAAATATTTTCGGTTAAATACTGTCGGCTATAATATTTTTGGCTAAAATATAGCCCCTCGAATTTTCAAACCGATTTCTTCCTCATGAGGTATATTGCATTCATATTTTTTATAAAATAGCACAGATAATTGGGTATCTGTTTTATTCTATTTTTTAGATTCTGAGTAAATCGATGTATTGATTTAATATAATAAATGTGTGTGTCTTTGAACAAAATTTCTATCAAAAATCATGTTCAATTCAAAAACTTTATAGCAACTTTATTATAGCAGTTTTGAAGTAATGAGAATGCTATTTTTTTAATTCATTATAGATTTTTTAATAAATGGAAAAAATGATAACAAATAGTATAATTATTGTTGATTTCTCACCAACTTGGCAAGAAGAGAAATAATACGTCTAATAATACTCGGCTTAGATTCATTTTTCTTCAGTTATGGTTTATCGATAAATATGGTTATAAATTAAACTAAACTATATTATTACTATATCCTCCCTTTCAACTTCGCTTCTAAAGCAATGGGCTATCTGTCAACAGTATCAACCTTTTTTTTTTTTCTTTTTTTTACATCAATAATTTAGATTGTAAACTAAAAATTATATGCGTTTTATTCAGAATAACTCGCTGTGAATATGCATGTATATATAAATCTGAAGACTGTCAGAAAATAGCTTAAAATAAAAATATCCGTATTATAATTAATGCTTTTAAAAAATTACGATCAAGTCAATATCCAGGCGACTTGCCAATGATTTTTTTGAATCCACACTGTATTGGACTTATAATAATGATAATATCAATATTATACGTTCTTAATACCTAGCATATAATTATGCATCATTAATCTAAAATGTCAAGTGTATAATTTTTAATTACTACCGAGTCGTATTATCGGTAGGTAGGTAGGTAGGTATGGTATAAACCGTATATATACCATTATGTTATTGTACGTGATTTCCACAGAAAATACCACCACCACATTGTCTTCACCCCAGTTCCATTAACAGAATCTGTTTTGTAGCTGCCGCAATTCAAATATATATAGACTAGTATATGTATGCTCGCGACATCGTCGTCGTTGTCGTTGTTTTATCTCGCGTATCTGCACCAGCAACTAAAAAGCACTTAAACTCTGTCGTTTACCATACTATTATAAGTAAAAATGACCAGTTTCAAAGTCGTAGCTGTACAAGTTTCAGTAATTTCGGCGTTGAATGTATCTTTTGAATTATTTTAGTATAATATTTAACATCATAATATTATTTTTATTTTCTGATCGATTTGTAAACAAAACAGAAGTCAAAGATATGATGATGAACGACTGAGTAGGGAATAAATTAAAAATCATCGACTTAACGGTCTTGAAAATTTTTAAGTACAATTATACATCAAGTATTAATTTCACACTTGTTAATATGCATATAATATATATATTATAGCATATACATATTTACAGTGGCTGATCAAGTGAGAGAAGCGCACGGGGGCACGGAAGCACATGCACCCTGTCAATGGATCACATTTTTTAATTTTATATATGTTATACTAATTTAATATACAATTTATTTACTAAAAATATAAACAATATACTTCCCTTTAAAAATATCTAGATCTACCACTGTATACCTATATATCTACTAATAAGTATATTATTTAAATAATTTTTAGATGTATAAAAACTATATTATTATATTCACGGATTGGCGGAGTTTGGAAAATCGATAAAAAAAGAAAAGAAAACTAGAGGTTTTTGAAATGTATTATCGAAAAAAGCTTTAAATTAAATAGACAAAAAGAATAATAAACAAAAAAGTACTGACTATAATAAAGGAAAAACGAGAAAATTGTTTTAGTGTAAAACTCACAAGTGACAAGATGATAAAGAATCTACAAGTTAATTACATACGAGAAGCATGGGGAACTGTAGTAAACCAATCAATCGATTGAAACCGAAAAAAGTACATATAAGTAATAAACACAATTTAAGTCGAGGAATAGTTTAACGACTAAATATTTAATGAACAAATTAGTAGTATCTAAACTAAAAACATTTAGATACATCCCACAGATAAGTGATATTTACAATAAAATACGATCAATGACATCGAAACTAGGTATTAACTAGTTACATGTTACTGGAAAGTTAAAATTAAATTGAAAAGTTACTTTCATTAGTAACTTTTAACTTAATCGGTTAGTTTAAATTCTAGATACCTAATTTTAACTAAATTTCATGTAAAGGAAACCTAAAGTAATATTCTAATGATCAGAATCAAATAGCACTAGTACTAAAAGCGTTAAAAAAAAAAGCAACTATTTTTTGGTTTCTGTAGGTATTTATTAAAATAGATATTTCTTATTTGATAATAATAATAATTATATTGACTATTTCACTATCAATTTTAACATGATTGTTAATCATTAAAACTTGAAGCAAGTAAAAGAAATAGGTATAAAAAAAAACATGTTTTAAATAAAATCCGAATTACAAAAGTATGCAATTTTATTTAATTAACAATTACTTTTTTGAATGAATTCGATTTTAGGCTAGTGAAACAAAATATCAAACTCATCTCCGACAACTGTTGAATTAATACTTTCACCAAGATTGAGTTAGTTTTATCGTAGATAAGTTGTAAATTTACCAACTTCTAATCCAATTTTATAGGTCTTTTATCATTACTAACTTCAGTTTCATGAGTTAGACATTTTGATTAACTCTTGTAACTTTGGTTGTCATAGTAAATTACTAATTATTAATTATCAGTTAGTATTTTAATATTTAAAATTGTCTACCGTTGACGTTTTAAGTTTTGAGCAAATGAAGAATATATCGATTTTATTACCTATAGTGTGTTTTTTTTTCTGTCTGTAAACAACTTTTCAACTAAAAATCTGACTCCAATTAAAAACGCTTTCTGGGCTACCTTAGCAACAAGATAAAAAAAAGGACTAATATAACTTTGCTCAGAATCGTTTTTCGTTAGCGCTATTTAATTAAATTACTCATTACATTCTTCCTTCTAATGTCCATCATAAAAAAGTGGCCCACCCATTAGCAGTATCCGACTTTTTAACTTTTATAACATAACATAACAATTTTACTTTTCACATTTACACTTTTTACTTATTACATAATTATTCATTTTTTCACTTCGTATCGTACGAAGTTTAGGGACATGATATTTTTTTAAATATCCTAACGTTGTTAGTAATAAATTGTCAATGTAGTTAAAATTGGGTTAATAAATTATGAAAACAATTTTTTTATTTTCCTGTACAAACAATACAAATAAACACTTATTAGTTATTACCTATATATTATACTACATATACATATATTTCCTACTCGTGTGAAACACAAGCACAAAATGCAAAATTAAGAAATTAACATTGTAATAAATTACGTATAGCATTATACACTGAAATAATTTAATAATAATTAATGCTAAATATTTCGATATATATTTATGCGATGTGCGAATTTAGTTTATAACTCGTATCGTTAAGACGTTTAATTTTATCGCCGTTTGTTTGACAGTTTATATGGTATACGGGATCGCAACGTATTTAGATAATATTATGCTTAAAAGTTCACGATTTATTACATTTATAACTGCACGCATTTTATAAGTTTACTGTATAAAATATACATTGGCCAATATTTTCTTATATATCTTATAGTTAAGCGATTCTTATCTAACACAAAGTTAACTTTGAAAAAAAAAAGTAAACGCACAACGAGACCTCATGTGTGATATTATATTTGCCGATGTTTTAGCGGTTTTCACGCATCAATAGACCCTTATACTTTGTGCAACGGAAAGTTTACAAATGGAAAATTGTTTTCACAACGGTTTCCATCCCAATAAACTCAAGTACAAATCAATTACCCAAATAATAAATTTATTTGGTACGGATTTATTCGTTCCTGACTGTACGAAAGAGGCACATGCACGGTAGGTGGTGGCGGCGGATATTTGTTCTATTTGAATGCAATTCGAAAACGTTTTGTACCTAAAAATTAAGTTTATCCTTGCCCTCTTCTTCTCACCCCTCATCCCCTGACCCAATAGATCGCAAAACTCGGTTATACAACGAACACAAGCTACAGGAGGGGGCGAGACGTTCTCTAAAAACAAGTTTTCTCATTTTGAAAACTTTGACCCGTTTAAATTCTCTACATTCGGCCATATATAAGATTTTCTACTACGAATAAATTCAACACAATATAATATACAATAATAATAAACAAAAACTTTTGCGGTCCATTACAATATTTCAAAAATATTCAAAAGGTGACGAAAGTGATTGTGTTTACGTTTTAAGTACAGAGATTGAAATGAAAAACTACCATAGACGTTTTTCAATTAAATATTATGTGGTTATAAAAGTACTGCTTATAAATTTGAATGTGCCTCAAAATAAACCCAAAATTGTTCATAATATACGAATGTAATAACTAATAAGAAATCATATTACTTTTATAAACTTATAATCTTATTATGCACCATGACCGTAGGATGCAAAACAGGTACCTAGAACTTAGGTAGGTATAGTTAATACATTCAATTTCCATTCAAAAAAAATCAGGGAAATTAATACAACAATATACGTGTATAAGTGTATATAATATTTTTTATTGAATTTATTTTTAGTGTCACGAATATAAACATAAGTTTTACAATAATATGAAAATGGCAGACAAATAATTATAGACTTTATGAAAATCGAATTTAAATACAATATCATCCAACCAAAATATTAATTGCTACCATTTCAATACTTAATACTTAATAGTATAGTGTATTCAAGATAAAAATAAAATTATTGTCTGATTCCTGTGACTAGCCTGACGTGGTTTTTAAATGACTTGGTTTTAAGTTTTAGTATGTATAATATTTAAAATACACTATCCTCAAATGATATAGTTAATAAATTTATAGTAAAAAAAAAAATTTGCGAACAGATGATCACCATATATTTAATGTACACGTCTTCTAGTAAATATTGTAAATAAAAAAATAGTTTATGGAGAAAAAAACTATATACTAAGAAAATCTTTCAATTAAGACCTTTCACAAGATGCTACACTTTGAAATCGGAATAAGATTTTTGGTAAGAAAATTATTTATAGCCAGAAATATATACCATAGTAAAAACAATACCTTGCCGCGCTCAGAATCTAAAATAAATTATTACTACAATTTTAATATAGCACGAGGATAAGGCCATATTTTAGAGGACGACCCACCGAAATCTATTGTATCCGTCTTAAAAACGAGAGACATAGCAAATTTTCATTCAGTTGGACACATGTTGTGCCGTTATATTTAATAAAGCAAATTTACTTATTACCAAAATTAAAGGTAAAAATATCATGTGTGCTCTAGCGTTGATGTTTTTTTCGATATTTTTCGTTTTAAAACGATATGTGAAATATTACAATTTAATAATAATTAAAAATAAAAAACTTCAACGCTAGGACACATAATATAATCTTCTTACATTTAAGTTTAGTAATAAGTCAATTTCCTTTAGTATTAAAACTAGCGGCACAAAATTTGTTCAACTAAATTCAAATTTTCTGTCATGCGTTTGTAAGACGGAGACAGTAAATTGAGGGTATAACGTTCTTTTAAGTACACCCAAATTTCGCAAAGGAAAACAAAACAAAACAAGTATTTTAATAAATAATATTTTATTTATTTTTGAGTATCATATTTTATTCGTACAACTATGCAATATGAATTATACACGAATGTCTTGATTCAGGCACGTGCAATTTATGTCCCACTCTCGGATGTTTATTAGAACGATACGCTTTACGCATTTATATTTTTTCACTAAGTTATTGAAAAAAGATATATATATATTATTATTATAAAATTAAAATTAAATATTGTTACATTAAATAATGTCTTATTAATATTTCAGACATTTGTTTTTTGGATTTATATTTTTCTATAAGTATATATTGTGTATGGCCTTTTTCGAAAAAACTAATAAAATTTTACAATAATAATAATAAAAAAAACCCATCCTCTCTAAAGTATATATAATATAATAACAACTAAAGTTTTTGAAATTGATTTTTTTTTTCTCCGAGATGTTTTTTCTTTTTTTTTTTTCAGTTGTTAGCTTAAAGAAAAACAAAACAGCGAAATACGATTTTCATATTTCTATTATACATAAATAAGGCACACAATATTATTATACATAATACATAGGTAAAATGCATGTTTGTTTATTTTATTAATAAAAATATCTTATATTATGATTATTAGATTCTAAATTTAGATATCTCTTAAACTATTAATTTTGCCTCAGATAATATAAAATCAGATAGTGCACTTCGACGACTCGGGCAGATATTCTCTCCTGATAACAGAAAAATAATCCATGGGAGAAACAAATAATTTTCACTCTATGATCTAACTGATGCGCTTTTGCATAACAAATCTAAGTTTATTACGCATTATTTTCTTCCATTAGTTAATTTCATCCTCCGACCCCATACATTTTGCACTATGTTTAACGATTTGTTTTTTTAATCAGGCATATTTCAAAGGATTAACTGACCCCTTCTCCCTTTGAAATAGCACAGAAATGTACATAAACCAAATCTATCTCAGAGCAGTGTGACCATCTTACAAGAAAAATCTTATAGAACAAATAGTACACGGTAAAATTGTACTTAATTTCATAATTTTTTAATAATGACATTAAAAACTAATTTAGGTATATAATTTAATTAAAAGAGATGAAATAATAGGATTTAATATAAAAATTATGAGCCTGCAAAATGTGCCCTTGTTTTAATATTCAAGGTATAAATGTTAAATGTCAACTCATACTTTAGGTATACTTGTTATTTTCCAATTCATATATAGGTGACCTAGAAAAAATTATTTTTCAACAATTATCAAACTTCAAAATACAAATTTCGATGTTAAATTTACATCATATCTATGAGATTAAATTTTGTAGGTTTTAGTAATAATTTTTCACCTGCATTTCGGCCATACTTAGAAAGTTAAAACAAACAAATTAATTATATTTTTTAATCTTTAAATATCTTTTAAAATCTATTAGGAATATGTTTTCAAAAATGAATTTAAAATTGATAACTATTTTGTTGAAAAAAAAAAATAAATATATTTAATATCATTTTATGATAAAAGTAATAATTTTAACATATATTTAGCGCCAAAATGTACTTATCAACATGCTTATAATACTAAATATAAATACATTTCAAAAGATTCAAAATATTTAATTGGCTGCTTAAATATTTAGTACAACTAATGCAGCTGACATGGAAACTTATTTAGTCGTCTTAAATAAATTACTATTCCTTTCAAAGTCAACAATTAAATTTTTTAAAAACATGGTCAAATTATTTGGTATTTTTAATTTATATAAAAGACCTAATTCAAAAGATTTTAACAGGCGGTTAAAAAATACTGTAACCAGATTTCATATTTATCATTAGTAGATAAATTGTATTGAAATTAAAGTATTGGTATTCAAATATCTAAATTAATATAATTTATTATAGTTCCCATTGATGGGTTAAATTTATTATCTATGTAAAAATATTCAAATTGATTGAAATATTACTGCAAATTCTTAGTACAATAATTTTTTTTTTAAGGTTAGGTTAGGTTAGGTTAGGAAACATTCCTCTTCGGTAGTAATCAGTTTAATTACATTATAGAGTAATACTTTATTCCACCCCTGAGTGCAACATCTTAAAATTATATTACCTATCGTTTAACTTAGATGTGTGCATTAACTTTTTCGGGAAACATTTTTTCATTTGATAAAAATTGAGGCAAAAATGATTATACTAGGATTATAATATAAGTACGTATGTTACAGATACAAGATTTCTGGCCATTTTGGTATTTTATTTAAATAAATTTATCGACAGTTTAAGCAGTTTAAGTTTCTTTTAATATATTTTGTCCCCTATGTCCCCTTGATAACAAAGGTAAAGACACGATAAATACTGCTCTACTCAGAATCGTTTTTAATTTGCAATGATATACCGCTACATACGGTGAATTAAATAAATTATCTATAAATTCCTCCTTATCAACTATCCACGCAGTGGCATACTATTTTACTTTAATTTATAAACATTTTAGTTCATTACAAATTGTTTGTTATATGTTTGGATGCAAATACCCTTTTCATTTATTATCATTTTATATCCGTTAATGTTTATTAAAAATTGCTATAAAATATTAATTATAATAATTATAATTTTGGATACGGATGATGATAGTAGCAGTGCACCTTATCCGAAATTTAATTTCATGAGAATTGTGTCTCGAATAAATTACTCGCAACGCTCGTGTACATTATTATCTACATAATATTTTGTGATACATGTTCTAATTGGATTAATGTTATACATTGTATAAATAATTATTTTGCTAGGCAAATAATGGAGATGGCTTCTCGATTTTACCATATATAGCAGTATACATTTATCCAAAAAAATAATACTAAATATGTGTACTTTAATGGTTTAAGTTGAACGTATACCAAGTAAAAATAGGTATAATATTTTTGAAGCTATTCAATTTATTAGAAAAACTTGATTACTTATTCCATGAAAAAAAAATCAATACCTACTCAAAATTTTAAACTTAATTTACCTTCTTCGTGTTCCGGTCAGAATATATAAAAATCCAAAACTATCCTTTTTTTCTTCTACCATTTCATACGTTATCGGAATAAGTAAACTTTGTTTGCTTCTACATAAAAATAGGTAGTCTTGATATGATTATATATTATACAAAAATAATACTTAACATTTATCCACTTCGTTGACATTAAAATAAATATATGTATATACATACATTATACAGAAAATAATGTATCACCGAGATTTATTAATTCATAGCGGAGCACTCTACGTAACTATACAAGGATTTCTTAGCTCCTTAAATTAAATATCAGTAAAATATCTTAACCATATACTATACGGCTCTGTCTAGTTCTAATTCGATCGAAATATATTATTTTCTACATATTTAAATTAAAAACAGCACGTTTAAAAATTGACATAAATTATTCAAAACATTTCCAGTTTTTCCTATTTGTTTAGAAATAACTACCATTAAAATCAAAAAAAAATTACTTTGATGTATTCTTGACTACTTGAGTAATAGGTCCCGTAAAGGTGTAAGGTCGTAACACATAAAAAAAAAACGTATTAAAGTAAAAAAAAAAGACTATTTATTAACACGAATTAGTTTAACAAATTACAATTAATAAACTTAATTTTAAAATTTAACATTTATACTCATAGGTCAATACTTAGGTATAAAATTGGTACAACTGTTTTAGTGTCTATGATAATACAATAAGATCTACGTGAAACAACTAATCGTCAGGAACAGATTTCCGGCAACCGAACGGGGTGGAATTCATTCAGTTTGCGTTTTAGATGACGTCACCAAGACATTCCCAAACAAAACAATGCAACAAAACTATATACCTGCTCACAACAATTTCCTTCATACACCAAGTACATAAAAATTAGACAAAAAAATTGCATTCAAGTTTTTAATTAGAACGAGATTTCTATTCGAATATTTGTTTACAAACACGAAAAAATCACATCATTGTAAAACCAACACATTCTTCACTTCGCCCAGAATCTAAAAGATATAAATTATATAAATAAATAAAAGTTGATAATATTTTCTTTTAATTCTATTTATTTAGATGTTTATGCGTGATTTTTCAGGCTACATATATAGCGAAAAAACCACGAGTATTATACTATAGAAATGAATAGAATGACATGATTAATGGTCATATATTGAGGTCCACTCCCATATTATTATGATATTGTACCATAGGTACATTGTGTATTATGATATTGTAAATCGAGATTCACTACATTAAGTTACCATAAAGAAAAAAGGAGGTATATTACTAGTAATGACTTTGAATAATAGATCAATGATAATAATATTGTACTATCATTTTATTAGTAGCATGACAACAAACGTCAATATAACTGAAGCTGAACCACGGTGGTGAAGACATCGATTTGGGTGTGTATATTACAGAAGAACTTACCGTTTTCAATACTTATGTAATAAATAGTATGTACAATGTACATATAATATATTACATGAGAATGAGAACGAATCATAGAATACAGCATTAATTTACTTTGGTTTGTGTGTGGATTTTTTCTAACCACGAACAAGTTGTTTTCGTCTTTTCGATTGACAGAAAATATTTTCTTTAGTTAGTATATTCAGGAAGCCGTTTTGTGATTTTTCTTGTACACTTTACTAAATAATAGAGGAAAACCAGGAAAAAAAACGTTGAAAACTCGGAAATATTTACGTAATGATCGATTGACATGATTCTTTTGTTTAAGAATAGTTGAAGGGACTGAGAAATGACATAACCTTTTTTTCATTTCATAAAAAACATATCATTTCCGTGAGAAGACCACCTGTCTCTATTTTTTTTTCTAGAGCACGGGTTTCTATGCAATTGCATATTTTTTCCATTTCAAATTTTTGGATTTTTGTCAGTAACCTTTAAGAATCATAGCAATTTAAAATGATGAATTTTTTTTGCATATTTCTGCATAATTCATAGTTATTGCAAATTTTGGTATATTTTTAAAAAACTCAAAGTTTATTTCATATTTAAAAACATTAAAAACATTTAAAAAAAAACATTAAATAATATTTTGTCAAGTAGAAAAATCAAAAATACATTTTGTAAACACTAAATAATAATTCATTCGAAATCACGATTACTGCAGTTGGTAACAATAATACCTTTACATTTCTTATTCGACTACCTTGGATGCATATATTATGTTAGTTTGTTATTTTTTTTATATTTTACTATAAAATATTTTATTCTTTCGACTGGAAATGGTGAAAATATCATATGCGGGAGTTTGCGGACAAAGTTTTAACAACATTATTTTTCTTTGTAATATTTTATAATGTTAATTTTGTTTTAAAACGTACATACTTTGTTTGTGAATAAACATATTGTTTACAAAACTGTTCATAACACGTTAAAATATTAGTATATAATAACAAACAAGTCGAATATTTTAAAAGTGCCAATAAAAAATATGAAATTATAATGTTTGTGTGTATGTATACGTCGTGATTTAGCGTTATAAATTCGAACGTGTTGTAGGACTTAAGCAATTTTTTAAAAAAATAAATAAGATTCAGTGTAACCTCGGAATACTCTTTAAATATATTATGTATAAGTTGTATAAATAGATGCAGTATAAGTTTTAAAAATATTTTTAACGAGTATTAAACTTGTATACCATTCAATTGAGTTCGATTTAAAAACATTGCCTGCTGATAAATTTAAAAGTTTAAAACAAACTGATTCAAATGAAATCGAATTTTATCCAGGTACTCAAAATTTTGTTAAATATACGTGAGGAGGAGAACAATTTCTGACGACAGTGAAAATTGTATAAACACGAGTGAAATAAATCTTTATGATTCATCAATATTTTATTAACCGGTTTATTACAAATAAGATGAATTTGGGTTTTGTTTTTTTTTTCTTTATAAATATCGATTATATACTATAAGAAATGTTATTTAATTTTAAAATAATATTATTATATATTTGTGGTACATTTTTTACAATTTTAACCAACAACATTAAGGAGTCTGTTTAACACAATACTTCACTCGTTGTTTCCAACGTTTGTGAAATAACTTATGAATTAGCTTACAATTGATGTAGGCTTGAATAAGTAAATTGATTCCTTCCCTTTAGGAGGAGGTTAATATAATCTAAGTTATAATAATTGACCTTAGGGAAATGTAGGACTGTCGTCCGTCAAAACCCCCTAGCAAACATAAAGTGGATGTAAGCTCTTTCTTTTTGATACCCAATTAGAACCCGTCGGTCTGGGGTCTCATTCATGATGTCACTTTGCAGTCGGTAGAGTGTTCACCAGATGGATTGGGCGATCATGTTGTATATGTCAAACAGCAGGTCGCCGGGTGCCCTTCGCCTCAGCTTCCCTGATTCTCTCGTCCTGCTCTTTGCGGTAAAGGATGTCCTCCGCCAAGGAGTAGAAAGACTGAGTGCCATGAGCAGAAGTGGCCATGAGTTGGTCATATTTACTGGTCATGTTTTTGATACCTACTTTAATCTAAATTGCGATGACATTTTTTGACAATTTTATTATGTAGGATGAATTTACACGACAAAGTATTATAATTTTCTCAAAAAAATACAAAACGTCTCTTAAACATATATTTTTAGTACCTACAAAGTTATTTTACTAATTTAATGGAATTAAATCGTCTTTATTTTAAATCAGTATTTTCATAGAATACATGAAAATGACCTGTTCCAAGGAACCACGATTTTAATTAAGATTAAGTGTAAAAAATCGTTTATGATTAACGAATTATCTTACGGAATATAATAGCTTCCCAAATCTACATACAAGACCGAAATCGTCAATTTTATATAGATATAATAGTTGATTATTTTTTTATGTATTTCCCTAAATGACTAAATATGACTACTACAACTTATAAGGATAAAAATAACAACTTGAAAAAACCTGTAAAAAAAAAAAAAAAAAAAAAAAGGTGACAGTGACATTGTATATGCCACTGCTGTACGCAACAATAAATACTATTCTTAATCCTCAAACGAAGTTTTGGAAAGTAGCATTGGTTGTGTTTTTCCCTTTTGGGTGTGAGCAGCCAAAATAACGAATAAAGTACCACCGCAAAAATGTAGCATCTTTTAAGATATTATGTAACATGAAAAAATCGAAGCATTTTTACTAACCGTAAAAATGATTTTCAGGAAGCACATGTTAGTAAAATTTTTTTACGGCATTCAGTATCTGAAATAAGTTTATTTTCATGATTTTTTGTTACAGTATAATATAATACATATTGTTTTAACTATCAAATTTTGAATAGATTGTGCAGAATTTTTTAACACTATTTTTAAATATAATAGCTACATTTAAAAAAAATTAAACATTCAATGCGTAAGTGTGAATGACGTAAAACGAAATTCATTATAAATCCATAACAAATCATAACGTTGAGAATTTCAGTATAAGAAAAAAGTGGACAGATGACTGCGTGTTGTATATTTTCTAACTAATGTTTTGGTCCAGTATAAATATCACAGGTGTCCGAACAATGCACACCATTTTGATTCTCTCGGCTTTAAATTTGAATAAATTATTTTATGCTTCTTAACAAATGGAACGTTTGAGTAACAAATAACTATTAATTGTTGGTTTCCGACGTTCTCTTTTCCCTACATGTTATTATTATTAATTTTTCCAGCATATAATCATTTTCCCTCGTAGAACAAATAATTATTATACTTGCATTGCTTTCCATTTCTTCATAATAATAATTATAATAAATTTAATTGTTTTGTGACCTAGTTCATTGGTTATACTTATTTTTTTATTTGTATATGTTACTATGAAAGTATACATAGTTTTCATTCATATAGTAATTTGCAGGAAATTTTTATTAAGAACTAAATGGATAATTAATTGAATATAATTATTTTAAGTAAATATTACTTACTATTTTCGCTTTTATTACAAATAAAATATCTAAAACAAGTATAAGTAAATATAAATATATATATATGTTTGAAAATAAATACCAATCTTATAATAAAAACAAAATAATAAATTGTTTTCCCTCAAAAATTAAAAATAAAATAGTGAAATTATTAATACAAAATATAATGCAAAAAATTAAATAGGTAACATAGTAAGTACCTACGTTTTGTTTAAAAAAACAAATAGGTTCATAATAGTTTCATATTAAATAATGCAAAATGTAAAAGTTCAAAACTCATGATTTTGTTTTTTATTTTGTCTCAAGTTTTAGTATATCATTATTAAAATGTTTGAAATATATTTTACAATCTTTATTCTAATTATCAATATAATTTAGAACTGTTTGCAGAGATTACGCGACAAATATATTATAAACTTCTAAAATCTAAAATCTTTTTTTAGATTCTCAGTGTAGCGAAGAATGTATTGGTTTTACAATAATGTTTTTTTTCTTCTTTTTTTATACTATGTACGAAAATTCTACCAGAAATCTTGTTCCAATGTATACGATGTAAACCTTTTTCTGAAAGAAAATTTGACTGAGAAGGTATTTTAGAGTGGTCATTTTCAGTTTTCCCAAGAGTATTACCAGAAAATAAGAAATCCAAGAAAAACGTAGGAAAATGGGAAAATCGAACCAATATTAAACAAATATTATTAAAGAAAATCCATAATGACTATTTAGTTATTTAACCATAATATGATATTTACATTTTTGACAAAGACACTACGTTCAGAATTGTTTTTTCGTTAGCAATAGTTTATTGTTGTTTACAGATATACATTAAATTCCCTTCTGTATCCAACCTTCCCAACTTCCCACCTACAGCAGTGGCAGTACCCGTCCACATTATCTTAAGACAGCTTTTTTTTTTTATTTTTTTTTTTAATTTATTCATTATTGTATAGTCAAACAGAGTATATAGTTGTATAAGCAAATATTATTTAGTACAAATTTTGATATATGATAATATTTTCACGTTCACGGTGTATATTTAACTTAGGAATATTGTCGATTTCTAAAAAAATAACAACACAATTAGAGTAAATACTACTGAATGTATGCATGTAAATAAAAATATACCTACTGGTAAATACAATTCAAAACAATTGAAACGTATAAAAGAACTTGCGATAAATTTATACTGTAAGTCTTCAAAATAAATACGTCAGCAATTATTTTTATACGACATGTTCTACATATGTAAACGTCACATGCAGATGCGATAAAATCGTTTAGAGGTGATTTTTGTTCATAAAAGTCGTACTCAGGAAAATACACGAACGAAAAAATGAAGAACACACAAATTGTCTTATAGTCACTACAATGTCGGTTACTGTATTGACATTGGATGGTTTTATATGGGTCGACACTTAAACGTGTGCACTTCTTTTCTTTGTCAATTTATGTGTTCCCAAATACATTTCACAGAATTGTGTGTACTTAAATAATAAATGATACTTGTACATAAATTATAATTTAGAGATTCATAAAGAAAGATTGTTTATTAGATGACGTCGGTAGTTTTGTTGTTTTTCATTAAATGCCAATTTTATAAGACCGTCCGACAGAATATTCTCCTAAACTCTTTGAGATCAAATAGGTGTTAATTTCAAAAGTCATAGATTAGGTTGGTTAGTTTACCTATGCTACATTAGAGTAAGATGATGATTTTTTTCATCAATATCTAAAATCCATATGATATGATACTGCACGCATACTGTTTTTTCTCCCCCTCTCCCCCAAAAAAAAAGAAAAATCACTGTTGTAGGTGAGATGTTGGGAAGGTATGATACACAAAAATGATATTTCATTTATATCCGTAAGCAACGATAAACTATTGCTTGATAAAAGACGATTCCGAGGGCAGTTCGGTAATACATAATCTTAAGTCCCGTAAGGTTTTTTGCGACTTTCGTTTAAATTTAATTTCAAAACGCTTATCAAAAAATAAAAAGTCGTCCGATGGTTTTGGAAATTTGACCACGTCTAGGTAAGTCCTATATAAGAATTATTACCGAGTTTCAAGTCTCTACGTGAATTTGTTACTGAATTACAGAAAAATGACTCAAAAGTTTTAGCGATGATACCGTAAGAAAATAAATGAAAAAGATGTCTTTTGATTTTTCGATTAAATCATATTTTCTGGTAGAAAGCGTCGTTTGTGTTTTTATAAAATAATGAAATCGTGAAATAGTACGTTTTTCTATATTTTTCCTACACTTGAAATCTAAAATATGCATCAAATATCACCAATTAGAAATTATAGATCTTCCAAAATAATTTTTTCACGTAATCTCTCAAGGAAAAATTTGAAAAAAATCGGAAAAAGTACTGAGAATTTTCGAAAAATAATTTTAAATAAATTAAGTGAAAAATTACCTTAAATAATATTATATTTTAAAATAATTTACGGAACTGCACACTAATGCATTTTCTACTACACACTGCATATATACTGCACATAAGTGTGCACACAGGGTGTGCCAGAAATGGTACAACCCGCTAGGCACAACCCGTGGCCCATAGCTTTTTGTACGACTATTATTCATTTGAAAACTGTTTACATTTTAAGCTACAAATAGTAAAAATAGAAGAAAATAAATAATTAGGCTCTCTAGTAAAAATGGCAAAATGCTAACACATGGGCAATGGCGTAAAGTATGATAATATGAACAACTTCAGGTAATCAATAAAATTAACCAACCAGTAACCACTAACCGTGATATTACTTATCTTTACCATACCAACTACCAAGGCGTGCATTGTACCCCATTGGACGGGCCTTTTTCAAAATATCTATTGTCAAATCTAAACTAAGGTAAAAAAATGTTTCAAGAACTATTAGATTCTAAGTGTAGAATCACTTTTATTTTTATTTGTTGAGCAAGAAATGACCAAATCAATAGATTTTGATGAATTGATTTTTTAAACACTAGCAATAACTCGCTCCAAAATCAATAAAAAAAACGTCAACCAAATAAACAATTGTCCTACTTTACAATAAACAATATTTCCTTATCAAAACGTTAATATATAATTACCACCGAAGAATTTATTTTCAAAAAAATGAAATGTGTTTTTAATAACTGATAATATATAAAATTATAAGATTACTTTAAGATTCTGAGTATAGCAAAAAATGTATTGGGTCTGCAAAGATGTTTTTTTTTTTTATATTTTTTTTTTCTCGAAGCTTACTCCAACCATTTTCTGAAAAGAAATTTTCTTGGTATGGTACGTTAGGGAGATCGTTATTCGATTAACTCAGGAATTTTCTCATCAAATCGGTTGAAAGCCGAAAAAAACCTGAGGAAAACGCAGGAAAATGTACGGAATTTATTAGTAAAATATTACGATTTCCAATTTTTGTGGACAACTTTTCTACTATCAATTTTTCTGAATGTGTAACAATTATCCTTGTTCAAGCTCCATTTTTAAAAATTTTATTTTTAATGACTATCGCATTATCACGGTATAAAATACATGTACAAGGCTATACATTTTAACATAGAAACTTTTTTTTTGAAAATGTCTATCATATTTCAGAGTTTAA